TGAAAATCTTCTTCCGAAATCTAAATTCTAAATGAAGAATCTGCCCTTTTGATCTGCGACCTCACGGTGAGTAGTCGTCCGGTCTCGGGCCTTGGTCCTAATTATTTTTGGGGCGAGACTTTTTGGAATTTTGTGCCAGGGAGCTCAAGTTTTAGACTAATTTCTTGCTGATAATAGTCTAGAGTCGTCCCTTGGTCATTTTTGGATTCTGTTTCGGTAAGTTTGAGATTTTCTTCAGGAAATATTAACTAACCTACAACACGTGTTCCATTTTTTTTAATAGGACTGTTCCGAGCAGCATTTGGAAGTTTAAGACTTCACCTTTGGTCTAGAGTATCCCTCAATTTGAGGTAGGATTATTTCTAATATTTGGGGCTCGATTTGTTTTTTTATACGAACATCGTTATAGGGTCCTAGTCTCAGGCTATAGTTGGACAATCCTAGTCTCAGGCTATAGTTGGACAATCCTAGTCTCAGGCTATAGTTGGACAATCCTACTCCTACTTTCAGGCTATAATTGGACAATCCTAGTTCTAGGCTGTAGCTAGACAGTCTTAGGCTATAGTTGGACAGCTCCTAGAAAGAGATTCTAGACTAGATCTAGATTGCTCTTAGTTGGCTTTCGTAGCCTTTCTCCAGCAACTCTCTTGGTACCGCTCTGCTAAAACCACGTCGAGTTCTACGTTAAACAGATACAACGTGGATAGGACTCATGACTCACTTACCATACCTTAGCCGCTCTATAGTGAGACCAAACCTGTAGATAATCTCACTTTGGAAACTTCTGGATTTTCACATTCATTTCATTTGTATACATGTAAGTTGCACTTTTACTATATAGGCAAATCTTATGTAAATCACTTGATACTGAATTAGGTTCGGTAAGTGCCCCTTAAATAAAATTTTAGAATTTTACCCTGAGGTTGCCCTAACAATAACTTTCACCTTTCTGTGTTAAATTTGCCTGTTGGAAGAGTGTAACCCATACTGTTTTTTTAATCTTTCACAAGTGTTAATAAACAGTTAAAACTGTTTATTTTAAATTCATATATTCATTATTTACACTTTTTTTATTTATTCAAATATTCACAAATTAGGTATAAGCCTAATCCTAAACACCTTTTTTAATAACTTCGTGGCTACTTATTGGCGCAATAAATAAGTCCTAATTACTTGGTGGCTACACTTTTTGGCGCCTTATTATTATTGTTATTATTTTTTAATAAAGAAAGCCAGATACATTATTGTACCTAATTAGTTGTTTAATTGTTAAGCGCTCCAATTGTACAAGTTTTGTTATAACATCAATAAGTAATCTTCCTAGTTAAGTCACAATTAAATTGGTGGCGCCCAAAGGTAAGATGTATACAAGGAACCCATGGACCCATGGCCTCCGGACTGATGCTGACTAGCCGTATGCAGTATAATTAGGCAATTGCCAAAATAAGTACGTTATAGTATAAGAAAGAGATATAAGTGCATTCTTTTTGCACTGGTTCTACTAATAGAATTCGCTATAAAATCATCAAAAATATTTTGGCAACTCGCACCACACCACCCGAATTACGCGACACGCGAAACTATTGGCAACACTGTTTGTTCTGTATCTAGCTTCACTAGCTTGTGTGAGAATGGTATACGCAAGTGTTTCGCCGCTAGTTGCGGAGTGAAGATAGGCACTTTAAGCAAACCCCAATTTTTTTTACGTATCCGTATCCGCATCCGTGAACGCATCGACTTACACGTTGTCCGCCTTAAAGTCCTCTTAAGCATGGCCATACATTACGTAAACGATCGTATCCTTGGATGAAACGTTTTCTAACCTCAAAGTGTTTTATTGATTTTGTAGCTGTGTTCGTAGATTTTCTTTTTATCTATAAGTACTGTGCTTATGTTGTTAAAGTTATTTTAGTGATAACTCACAGCAAGATCTCTCAATAATGTCAAATGATTGAGATACGTTTTCGGATACGGATAAGAGACTAGGCCCGTAACGATACGGAGAACGCAACACAACGAAACTACCGTATCTATTCTGCGCATGCGCAGATCGATGCCGTTACGGATACGTTTGAAATTCAGGACCTACTTAAAGTGTCTAATTATCGAAATATAAGGCGATTTTCAGCCTGGAATGATTGTTCACCGGTAAATACCGTGGTTATTCTTTTAGTTGACAACTTTGACAGCCAAGTGTGACGTTATAGCCCCCCACCATTTAAGAATCGTAACCCAAAGATCGCTGAAATGATTTGGTTATAAGCAGTGTAGGGCTATGTTTATTATTCTTATTTGTTTTTTCGTTTCAACAATGGTTTCTTGTTTAGGTACAAAAATGGAATGGAAGATATCTTCTTTGGGAATGATCTGAATATGGTGAGTTGCAGTGTGTGTATACTTCTTCCATTGTGCCAGGCCACAACACAACTGCAAAATCATAAAACATCAATATCAAACCCCAAAATAATAACAATAACATCAAAAAGCTGTAACCAAAAGATTAACTCAAGTCCGAAGGTGGGTTATGATCGGTTATAAGTGGTAAATACCAAAAGCAAATCAGCTGATCTGCGACGTCACAACTTCCCCTACTTTGGTAAACACCGCGACAGCGGAAATGCATTGGTTAAAACCAAATAATAATCATTCCAGGCTGAAAATCGCCTATAATTTGCCCGCTGGCGCCGCTGGTTTTGACTTCAGCAGAGCAAGAGCTCTGCGCAGCTTTTAGAGTGGATCCTGCCTGATAGGTGAAAAGTTAGTTTGGGCTGCAAGGCCCCATACCTACTGCCGCCTAGGGCCCGGTACAGCCTTAAACTGAACGAAACAGGCTAAATATCTGAACCCACGTTTGTTTTTTTTTTTAAATAGCTCGTACACGTAATTTGATTTTCAAAGGGGGAAGTTTTTTGCAATCATTTTCAGCATATCAACTTCAACCCTCTAGGCGGGGTGGGACCAACCCTCACTATTTCAAATGGAACAAGGGGTCGAGTGATACCTCTTTCAAAAGAATGTTCAATTTTCTTTTATTTGATGTTATTTGAGAGAAAATTGAGCGCTTTTTTGAAACACGTATCACGCGAACCACTGTTCCATTTGGAATGGTAAGGGTTGGTCCCACCCCCGCTAGAAGGTTATAGGTTAGTGCTGAAAATGTTTCACTCACACAATCAAAATACGTATACGAACGATTTAAAAAAAAATAAAAGTGACATCAAATATTTAGCCTGTTTCGTTTTAAATGGTATACCCTGTATACATATATGTATTTGCATTATCCGAGTTTTCAGTTAACCGAGGTGGGTACCTCCCACGTTACCTCGGATAACCGGGGTTCTACTGTATTAGGTTTCCCTTCATTATTGGTAGCTTCTGAGATGGGTTTATAAATTTTTTTAATATTGTTCCCATTATTCTCAATTTCTTTTTTGTAGTAATCATGTTTACCTACATTTGCTAATAATTGTTGTGTTGAGGTTATTTCGGTATTCCTTATAATTTTGATTGTCTATCTCATTAAAGTGTGGAAGAAGTTTTTTTTTTTTCATCTCCGTTTTTGATTGAACTTATAATACCATTCGTTATCCAGGGTTTAATTTTATTATGATTTGTTAATATTTTTTTTTCAATTTTTGATTTGTTGAAAATATTAACCCGTAACTGGTGATATGGGGTTTTTCGAACCCCACAGATTTTAAGAATCTTTACCACGTATTAACTAATTGTTGGAGGCTTGCTACCTCCTGTGTAGCTTTCGGTCCGCGCGATATTTTACTTGGTGTATGATATTACGATTTTTGTACAAATTGGGGTTTGCGTAACCCCACCTCTATGAGTCGTTTGGGTTAATTTGGGGTAATTGCTCTCCAAAAAGACTTGAAATACAATTTTGCTAAAACTTTGTTCCTTGAATGTTTTTCAAAGATTTTTAGATACTTTTGCGCCATTTTGTATTTTTTATGCTACATTTTCAGTTTGATTACTTCCAGCAATTAGAAATAAGTTTTGATGTGTGTTTTGTGCAATTCCACAGTAAAATTGAATTATTCCCAAAATATTTGTTTTTCGTTTGTTGAAAGTATGTACCTACGCGTTCCAAAAGGACAAATGTTACCCAAAAGTGAATAACATACACGTTTTTTTATTTTGAATTAGCAGAATCGCCTTTTCCATTTGGGGTTTAGGAAACCCCACTTCACCAGTTTTGTAACAAAAAAATGACCTCACCAGTTACGGGTTAAGAAATACCTACATCATAGAAGGAATGTAATGTAATTTCTGAATCATTGGCTATTACAGACGCGAACCAAGTTTCATTATCTAGAAGGTCATCCAGAATTTGATAGTCAGTATAAAAAGTCATTTGGCCAGGAGCTTTGAGTTGATGAGGAATGCTCACCGCTTTCCAGTCGCTCGGCACTTTCAATGTAAATTTGCATTTAAAGTGCCGAGCGACTAGAAAGTGGTGAGCGTTTTTGAGAACCAGAATACTGGCTGAGTCAAGAACAAAAGCGGAATATTTCAGTGATGTGAAGTTTAGTTTTCTTCTCACAAAACTATGATCGGAACAAGAGTTGGTGTTTGGAGTTACTCGGGTCGGGCCTGTTATGGCCGGCATGAATCCAAAATGACTCAAAATTGTTAAATAGGAATTGAGTATGTTATCTTCCTGATCACAGATATTAATATTTGTATGTCACCTATAAATAATGTCAATTTGTGCGGGTGCACTTAAAAGAAAATACTCCTCAATGTCCTCAAGAAAACACTGAGGTTTTGTTGATGGAGGTCTGTAAAGACAAGTAATTTTAAAGTTGATCTTTTCTATTTCAATAACAATCTCTGTAATAATGGTTACACGTGATTTAGTTAACGTAGTATTTGATAAGGACCCCGCACATTTCTTATGAGATTTCTGACCGCGGTTTTTGATTGTTATTATTTGACCTTTTCTATTTTTTTGCTTTATATTAAAAAAGAATCTGATTTGTTTTTACCTTGGTCCGCAATCTCTTCTCGTCGGCGAACAACTAGGTCTATAGGCTTGAAGAGGACTATGTCGATAATGCATTCCCCCAATAGGTGTTGTTGCAGGAGAAGATAATCTGCTAGGAGGAAGTGGCGTGGGATATTTGCAAGCATAAAAAGACAATGGGTACATTCGGTTAACAGGAGTTTGTATGCGAGCTTCCGAGGCTACGGTTATCGGCTTCCCTGATCCTGAAAATAGCAATCGATTTAGAAATTTATGTCAAGTAGCCAAGTGAATCCTAAAATCCTCACCGACATAAAACGTTATCAGATCTTGTACGGTATCGAAGGCTTCGTCTTCGAATTGATATTGCACTCGTTCGTATACAGTATCCGGTTGCAAAAAGACCTTATTTATTACAAAGTGGAGCGGATGGCTCTTTGTTCGACACGTCAAGACGTAGTTGCCTGGTTGAGATGTACAATCTCGAATCTGGAACAAAAACGAATTAGAAAATTCTTATCCCACGTCAGAAGTATATAGCAATAAATTTCTTAAAAAAACTTCAATTTAGCATAGGTAATTAAGATTTTTGATTCTTACTAGAAAACAGCCGTCCTCTCGGACAATTTCTTCGGCTCGTGCCCGAGGAATCGCTCCGTGATACCAGGCATGGGACCGCAAATCCCGACCGTCCAGGGACAGTTCCCATTCTAAGGCTTTTCGGAGATCGGTGGAGTTGGCATTAGGATCCGCCACCGGTTCCTGAAATAAAAAAATGGTAAGTTGAGTAAAAAGTTGGATATTTATTTGACTATATCTTTCTTAACATATTTGTAATCAGAGCTGGGCAGTGGTTAACTACAGAAGTAGTTAACTAAGTAGTTAACTGCTTTTTTTTATACCTTTTCTATACCACATGCTAAACAGTTAGAACAAATTCTTGGAATTAGTTAAGCTGTGCTTCAAGCTTCCAGTCACCAGTGAGCGTTTGTTTTTATTGTTATAGATATTTTTTTGTAGGTATGGCACCGAACCCAAATGGAAAAAGGAAAATGACAAAGCCTTATCAACTATAGCTCTATTTGTCGATGTTAGTCAATTGGTGCATATCAGAAATAAGCAATATGCACGTGAAGCGTGGGAAGCACTAAGGGAGTATCACCAATCAAGTTTATCTAGCATGGTGTTCCTATTAAAGCGGATTTGCAGGTTGACGCTAGAAGAAAATGGTGATATGGAAGCACACATCAGTTTATTCTTGGAATTATTGCACAAATTGGCCGCCTTAGGAGAAGAAATTAAGGACAGATTTGCAGCAGGGATTTTGCTGGGAAGTCTTCCAGACTCGTACAGTTTTTTAATTACAGCACTGGAAAGTAAACCATCAAATGAATTTACGCTTGAATTCGTCAAAAGTAAATTAATCGATGAGTACAGGAGACGTCAAGATCTTTGAGAATTCAAGAGGAGTTAGCCATGAAGTCAGTATATAAAGGTGACAGACGTAATCATGCTGCAAACAGTGCAAACACAGACGGAAAGCAATGTTACTTTTGTAACAGAAAAGGCCACTTTAAACGGGATTGTTTTAAGTATAAGGCGTTTATAAAAGAAAGGGCCAATACAGTTACTGAAAATAAGACTGATGATATGTGTTTTATGGTAAATTTCAGCGACGTGAAACGGGATTCTGCTTCGTGGTATGTGGATTCAGGAGCTTCGAGTCACATAGTTAATTCCAAGGGATTTTATACCCAGTTTGATGAAAGCAGAAAAGGCGTTGTGAGACTAGCAGAGAAGGGGCAGCACTCCAAAGTTGAAGGCATAGGCACAGGATCCATCAAGTGTGTAAATAGAGCGGAAGTATACGAGCTAAAAATCGATGATGTGTTGTTTGTGCCGCAACTGGATTCAAATCTACTTTCTGTGAAAAAACTAACAAGTGCGGGTTATAACGTGCATTTTAACGACAGTGAATGTAAAATCGTTTCACGCGAAAAAGTGATAGCGAGTGCAAGCCCGGCGCCCGACTTGTACAAGTTATCAACCGTGCAGCAGGCACTAAGCGTCACTAACAGGGATGCTATCAGCACTTAAAAAATTGTACCAGAAAGTAGGGAATATTGTACTAGATTGGCGACATTGTGTACTAGCTGAAAGCGCGTCCAATTTTGAAATTTGAATACAAATGTAGGCTCTGCTAAATGAGGGTAAATATCACTTGTTTTAGAGTCGGTTTCTCAATAGCGAGTCACCTGCGGGTTGGTTTTAACTCCAGGGTAAACGTGTCCAGTTGCAATGTTTACCTAGAGTTATCCTCAATCTGGGGGTGACTCGCTATTGAGAAACCGGCCCTGAATGATAGAAATAAATTAATTTCTACAAATTCTACATATTTAGTTATAAATCGACTACCGATTACCATGATCCGCTGAATAACCGAATAACCACCGATACATGACCGACGTCAAGTCACAGAATAAAAAAACTCCCCCACCATCAAATTCTGGGATACTCGAGGATCAAGAACATTTAATTTTTTCTGCAAGAACAGACCGAAAATCACCTTTTCTACATTTAAAATCGACGAAAAAATTTTCTCACTAGCATAGCCTGATTAGCAAGCATTCGATCGAGGTCTGCGAATGACGTCACCCGCAGGCCCAGAATTTGATGGAGAGGAAGTTAGGGAAGTATGACACAATTGATACATCACATAACCCAGCATAGCATAATCAGATTATGCTTGAATATCCTCGCCAAAAATTGCCTCATATTCGAAACGCCAATTTCTTGTTTGGCTTTAGCCGTACCGTAGTGGGATCTGGAACGACCTGAAACGTGAAATTCAACCCACAAGTAGAGGTAAAGCGCAGAACTCGGGTACGGTACAGAGCGAAGAGCGATACTCGACTCGTAATCCAAATTGTACTAGATTTATGAGAGAGGTAGTAGCGTACTAGGTGAAACGTGATTGTGCTAGATCTAGTACAATTATTGTACTAGAAATAGCATTCCTGGTCACTAATGAACATTCAAGTGACTATCAGCATACATGGCATCGACGATTTGGGCACAGGGACATGGAAGCAATCAAGCACCTAATGGAAAGAAAAATGGCATCCGGGATTATTATAAAGGACTGTGGGATCAGAGAAACTTGCAATTGTTGTGTACAAGGTAAAATTATCCGCAAGAGTTTCCCGAAAAATTCTCAAAATAATACATTCAATATACTTGATTTAATACATACAGATGTTTGCGGACCCATGAAGACTGTTACTCCGGGAGGTAAGCGATACATTCTTACTTTAATTGACGATTTCTCAAGGTATACAACTGTTTATTTAATGAATCATAAAAATTAAACTTTAAAATATATTGAAGAATTTATTGAGTTAATGAATAATCAGTCAGGCAGGGTTCCGAAGGCTTTTAGTTCGGATAGGGGTGGTGAGTATGTAAATAATTTTTTGAGGGAATAGAGTTTCGATGAAAATTAGCTTGATTGAGTTAGTTTAAAGTTGAGTTTCGATGAAAAATTTAAAGGGTAAGGGCATAAAAATTCAGTACACTGCGAGGTACTCTCCAGAGCAAAATGGGGTTGCTGAGAGGAAAAATAGGTCGCTAGTTGAGATGGCTAGGTGTATGTTAATTGATGCGGATTTATCAAAGAAATTTTGGGGTGAAGCAATAGTTACAGCCAATTATTTGCAAAATCGACTACCTACCCAGTCAAAACATAAAAGGGCGGTTACACACGGGCGTGGATGGTACGTGCAAACAACCCAAGTAACATTTTTAGCTTTAAAGAAGTGTTAAGAGTTACTATAAAACCTAGAATAAAAATATTTTATAAAGCCATATTGCCTTAACAACCATTAAAGAACTCTTTTAAAGTTCTTTTAAGCCTGCAAGGGCCCACCCCTAAGATTGCTTTAACAGCCTTTTATAAAACCTTATTAAAGCTTTGAAGTTCCAAAGGCAAAGTTTTATAGCTATACAGACAGCGTCTATAAAACTTATTCCAAGTCTATGATAAAACTATTAGGCCGCCTTGAAAAGCCAAATGGGAGAAATGAAGTGCAAATGGAATTTATTTAAATAAAAATTGCAACAAAATTTATATTCTTAAAACTTAAGGGGCTTAACCAAACTTTATCAATTCTTCTACTTCGCCATAATTTCCCACAAACATAATTTAAACTTACTACATTTGTAATGGACGATCTATGATAGCTATGAATGGTATTACACAAATATAATTCTTACATAGACGTGATTCTGCATTGAAATTTATATACAAACCCAAGTTTACTGATGAAACTGTACTTCAAAGGTTCAAATAACTCGTGGGCCTTGAAAAAACCCTAATTTTGACAAAAATATAAAAATACTAACCTATAATGTGTCAATTTTTTTACACGTTTTATGGATATTCGGAGCATAAATATGATGAATCATTTATAATAAACTGTAAAATCATAATTACAATACCAGATTCAACAAAATACCTGATAAAAAACAGTGAATATAATTTTCTACAGAATGGATTCCAATCAAACGCGTTCAAATGACAATCAAACATGGCGAAATAGTGATAAAGCTAACAGTACTTTTCATTGTATACCACAAATCTTAATTGCGTAAAAATAGGCCTGCAAACCTTGGATTATTTGTTCTTAAAGCTATTTTGCTTTAAACCGTGTGATTCCTAGAGCTTCTGGTGGATAAAACGGCTCTATAAAACCTTCATAAAACTCCAAGTTATTTGTCTGAAATAGGTTGTTAGGGCTGCTTTCAAATTTTTATGCTTCCATCTGGCGGAGAAGATTCAAACTCTTTCAATGCTCCCGTGATCTTGGAACCTGCTTGGTGCGTTGAGAGGGTTTGGAACTTTCTTCGCTAGATAGAGCATAAAATTTTGAAAACATTAGGCTTTTTCGGAAACGCTGATCCAGATCTGATTACTCTCATTAATCCGATCACCAGCTGTTTGTTTTCTATCTTTCCGAAAAAGCCTTTTGTAAGTAAACCAACCTAATTACCTGTTTTTTGTTGTGGACTGAAACAAACAGTTACGTTATAGACACAGCCTTACAGACCACAAACAAGCGTTTTGTTAGGTTAAAATAAGATTTCAAAATACTAATTTTATTGAACGGTAGATGTCGCCTGCCACTTTCACGTGCTACATCACATCTCAGGAACTTTAAAAAAATTGAGTTTTAACGCAGCTTCTTTACTCCCCTTCTTAAACCCAATTAAGTTTAAAAAATTCGTTCTGGTATCGGAGAAAGGTATGAAGTTTAGAGACATCTTTTTTTGAAGCCTGAAAGGTTTATTGATTTTCGGTTTTATTGCAGTTTTAAGCTTTACTTTTGCACTCGTTTCATACAGCTGAATTCCTTATTCGTAGGTTGAGATAAAGCAGAACGGTTTCCAGATCTTTCTAAAAGTAAAATAGCTTTAAGCTAGAAATGTTTGCAGCATTATTACGGCTACTTTAAAACTATTCACGTTTTTAATGCTGAAAGCCTGTAATATTAGGTGATTACGATGTTGTTACAGCTCTTCAATAAAACACAATAGTTTCAAAATAGTAAGCTTCCAATTTCACATTCTTAAAACTTTCATTCATTTCATATAACCTAGATAATGCCAAAAAGCATTTAAAATGTTACTTGGGAAGAACGTGCATGGCGACTTTGTACAGAAGCTCGCACAAAACTGCAATATTGGTATTGTTGCTACAGTATTCC